TGTTTGCGATCAACCGCATACTCGATGTTAGCACACGACTGCAACATCGAAACTATCGATATTTATTGTTGTAGTATCGATACTATGCAACAGCTGTAAGCTCATTTGYTTAGTAACATTTTCAACTRCAAAACAAACAAATGCCATAAGTTAAAGTAATTTGCATTTAATTTTAGTAATTYCACCAATCACAAATCTTAMWWACCTGCCAGWKCGACAGGTGAGTGAACTTTACACGCCTTACWTATGAAATGTATTAATTCCTTTGTTGTAAAGCAACAGCAAAACAGTTGTTTCTAATAAATCGTTAATACATACACAATGTGTATGGAATGCGCACGAAACGCTTATCAGGTATCAAGACCGTTTTGTTTCCGATTATCAGTTCCAGCTAGTTGCACACATTATTTTAGTTATTGACGCGTTGTTCACTCGTGCGGCGGTCTACAGAGCAACTCTCATACATCGACTTTCATTTTAGCTGTGCTTCATTTGGCAAGAAAATGCGTCCTTTCAATGCCGGCGATTGCCTGAAGCCAGTCGGGAGCTCCATCAACCGCGCCTTCGGCAACAAAGAGCCCTGGCAGATCGCAGCGATTACGGCGACAACTGTGTTGGGCTTCGTTTGGATTTGGACCGAGCTAAGCAAGGATGAAGGTAAGCGGCTGGCATTTTGCTAAAATATTTAATTCCATTTAAATAATCTTATCATCTACGTTTGTACTTTATAGAGAACTACATAGAAAGAAAATATTCTTTATGTACTTTGAACTTTAACGACCCACCTTGAGTGATCCATCTAATTGATTGGGGTATAGATTATACTTGTCAACTTAAGATTGGGTGCAAATCAAGTGCCAAACGGAACTGTGAACTATAACCAGAGCTATATATATAGCTATAGATCACAGTTCATACGCGATCTGATGAGATTTACTGATTTAAAATTATATTTTTCATGTGCTGGTGGACATATTTCATAACTTTTAGTGCTTGCTCTATC